CAGTTGCCTGTGAACTAGCACAAACAATCAACAAGTGGGATCTCTTCTTATTAAAAAGCTTCTGCACAGCAAGAGAAACCACCAAGAGTGTGAAGAAACAACCCACAATGTGGGAAAAAATTTTCACCTTCTGTTCGTCAGACAAAGGTCTACTATCTAGAATCTATAAACAACTTAAGCAAATCAGACCTCCCAAATTTAAAGACCCAGTCCAAAAATGGGCATATAAAATGAACAGACATTTCTCAGACAAAGTAGAAATATCAAATAAGCATATGAAAAAATGTTCAACATCACTGGTCATTTGAGAGATGCAAATGAAAACAATGCCGATACTCTACCTTGCCCCAGAAAGAATGGCTTCTGTCATGAAATCAACCAGTAAGAAATGCTGGCGGGGCTGTGTGGGAAAGAGGAACCCTGCTCCACTGCTAGTGGGAGTGCAGACTTGTGTAACTACTGTGGAAATCAGTATGGAGATACCTGAAAGAACTAGGACTGAAAGTCCCATTTGACCCAGCTATTCCCCTGCTGAGTATCTTCCCCAAAGAATTAAAAGACTCATACCATAGTGATATATGTGCACCCATGTTCATAGAAGCACAGTTTGTAATAGCTAAAACTTGGAAGCAGCCCAAATGTTCATCAACTGGAAACTGGATAAAGAAAAAGTGGGTTTTTAAATAAAATGGAGTACTACTCAGCCATCAAAAAAGAGAAATTAGAGACATTTATTGATAAATGGATGCACATTGAGGCTATACTCTTAAGTGAAATAAATAGGACACCCATGTGTAAATGCCATTTCTCTAGTGTGAGAAACTGAAAGTGTAAATAAGGACTAAAAGGTATATTAGATAATGTGAAATAGGAAGAAAAGGGGCAAAGGAGAAAGGGAAATGGGAGGGGTAGGGGAAAGGAAAGAAGGGAATGGAATTAATATGAGAAAATGAAACAATGGAAACAAAGTCTTTGTAAATAGGGACGCATGGAGGGGTTGAAGGGAGGACATGGGAGTGGGAAAAATTAAGAACCCAGAGAGACTATGTAAAGGTGCAAATTTCCAATGATGAATGTCATATTGTACACCTAAAATGTACCAATAAAACTAATAAAAACTAATGTTTGAAAGACAAACACTTAGTATCCTCAAACTAAAATCCCCATAAATAAACCATCCCTACCACTGCAACTTGGGTATATTTTCTTCATGACTCAGTCTTTTAATTAAAGCACATAGCAAAAACGATTATGGTAAAATACTGCTTATTTTAGCACAACTTCACATATGTATATATTTTTCCTTAAGGAAGTTATTGTTAGATTAAAAAAACAACCTAATCTGAAGCAAAGTTCATGGAAACAATCCATGAAAGTCAAAAAACATTTTCTTACTGTTAAAAACAACACATATTAACTGTGTACAAAAGAAAAGCAATGTTTTAAATGCATGAAACAAATAAGAACTTGCATTTTAAAATAGCAGATAAATTCACATTTTCTGCAAAGTGTGTCAAAGGAAGCAACAGCCCTAAAGCTCGTTAAACTACTGAGACTGAGTCAATATTAAACCTTAACTACTATACCAGAGAAAGAAGATTCACTGCGCAATGTCCCAACAGACAGTGGTTATTGGGGCTGGGGATGTAGCTCAGTGGCGTGCACCTGCCTGGCAAGCACAAGGTCCTGAGTTCGATCCCCAGTATCCCCAAAAAAAGGAAAGTGGTTATTATTATTATTATTTTAGAAATTGGTTATTAATTACAGAAAGACTGTCTTTCTTTCAGAATTATTGTTTGGACTCTCCGAACTCACTTGTTATGCTCAGATGAATGAATGGGCTTGTCTTGTTCTCCCCATTCCTCTCATTGACAGCCTGCACGTAGTAAGCCCCAGCATCACTTGCTGTTGTTGCAAGGATCACCAGCTGATTCTCCAGGGTGATAGCTCTGTTTCAGAGAAGGACAAGATAGTGTCAAAGCCACTCCAGGGAACTAATTTCTCATTTATAAGACAAAGTTAATTTATTAGGCAAACTATATAGGAATGTGTGGAGTTTATTTACTTATTTATTTTTAAAGATCTGCAATGAAAAAAACACATTGGCCAACTTTAAGAATGAAATGAAGGCTGAATCTTCTCTGGTCTGTTGGACACCCTGCAGCCAGCAGTATCTGTGTGCTGTAGTTGCTCCATCTCCATACCAAGCCTACTGTAGAACACACACATCCAGAGATTGTTGAAACTCAAGAGGTTCCTCCGAGAGTTCTAACAAAGCCAGTTAGAGGACATTTTATGGCAGTTGTGCCTTTTCTTGCAGGAGAGTAACTTGATCTCGCAATACTTATAAACCTTTCAATTGAGGGCTGGACCCCCAACATCTTGATCCAAGGCAAATGAACCTATTTCTCTGCACAGGTTCCCCTGTACCTCCTTAGAGACTATACTTATTTACAGTCACACTGGAGGACAGAGGTAACTTTGTCAATTGGCACAGTGCTGACCCCTTCAACTTAAATTCTCCCATCACCCCTAACTCCAGCCATACACCCCTCACTCACTTCTAGGAGTCATGCTTTAGAAGTGTGAACAAACAAGTATACACTCTACATGATCATGAATAAACCCTCCTTTGATGTCCCAATTCTAGTGGAAGGAATGTGAGACACATTTGATCCACCTACCCTTCATCTGAGCCATAGCTGCCTGTCCAAGATCATATGGCCACTTGATGCCAGAGGCAGGACCAGGCCCTCTCACAGGTAGACCAGTGCTCCCACATTGTACCACACAATGACTGTTACTATGTTACTTTTTAAAAAAGAAGAATGCCAACAAAATCTGAATGCCTATTGTATTGAAATGGGGGCCCAACAGGGTCCTTTGTGCCTGTTATGATTCTGTATTCCCTTTGCTACTTCAGGAGGTGAGTGAGGGAGTTAGAATTTACTAAAAAATAAAAATGCAAATGTATGTAAATTCTCTGGCTGGTGAGCTGGGCATGAAGAGTTAGACATAGTCTTGAAACACCAAAACATTGTTTAGACTCTGCTCTTATTTCCAAAACAAAGATGCAGTGGGATGTGGCACATTACAGTGAAATGTACCACAGGATGATCCCTCTGCAGGGGAGGGGTTCTGTTTGTTTGTCTTCTGATCCTAGTCAGAGTCATTCCTGAGTCAGAGAGTCAGGCCAATTGGGTGACTTCTCATGAAGGATTTAATGTAATAGCAACTTTTCTCTTCTAGTTATCTTTGGGAAAGCTTTTTAAAAAATCCTTGGTTTTTATTCATTGTGTAAAATTATCCTAAGGAATGACTGTTCATTCAGGGTTCCCATAGGCCATATACATTTTGGGTCTCTATGGCTAATTTATTTCATGTCTCATGTAAGAAAATTTCCCTACTAGGAAGTTTTCAATTTTTAGTCCCATAAAAATATTTCAAAAGAGTTTAACTATAATTATTTATGGCTCCTTTTATAGAACCATAGAAATTGTTCCATTTTATTTTAGTATATGTTACACTGGCACCTAAAATTAAATATGAATATTTACTACACATGAAGTTACACATTTCATAGTATAATTTTAAAAGCAGATATATAACTTTTGCTTTAACATCTGATTTTTATAATAGTAATTTCAAATATGCCTATTAATTCTCAGAATTGGTCTTTTAAAATGCCCACTAATTTCTATATTATTTATTACATTGTTTCAGGGGTATTGAAAATTTAAAAGCAGGTAAAAATAAAAAACACTAAATTTTTCATCTATTAAGGTTTTTATTTTTAAGCTCTGCTTTTTAGTTTTTAATTTCTCTACTTGTTTAAATCAATATTTATAAAAGAAACTTCATCTGTTGCTAAAAAAGACACAGCAAAAATATTAAATCTTTGGAGAATGTTTACTAAATGAGAATTAATTACCCTTTTACAAAGGAAACTAATTTTTAAAATGGAAATAAAATACTTAAATGCACTCAATTTTAAAGTCCCAGTAACTGCTGGGATGATTTAGGAAAAGAGCCTGTTTGAGTGATGTGCAATGGCCATGTCCCTTGGGCCCTCCTTTGCTCTGGCTGTCACTTCCCCAGGCAGCTGTAATGGGAGAGACTGTCTATCCTAGTAGCAGGCTTGGATTGTGGTCATTTTGTCCCAGGTGACAATGGTGGCAATTTTATGGCCATGAGGAAAACAACTTTAGCTCAAAGCTGACAATATTGGCATCAGACAGACAGAATGTGAGGTACCTGGGTCCTTGATAACCAGGGAAACACTCATCCTGCAGCTCATCCTATTGCTGATGTTCTATTTTATGATATAATATAGTCACATTCAAATTTGTTCGAGTCAGAGAGTTTCTGTTACTAGACGTCAACAGCATGTTGATACAGATTCAAAAAGCATATACAGTAACATACATTTGGGATAAAACTTTTTTAAAAAGTGTGTTCTATGCCTAGAAAAAATTCCAGGTATGAATTTTATGTATGTATATACATAAACTGTAACAGAAGTTAGTCTCTGAGTGGTAAGATTGCAAGTTATTTTCTTTTGAATTCTATTTTTTAAAATATTTTCCGATCTTTTGATAACAAACAAGTACCAAGTGAACCATGTTCTAAAAGAATGAAAGGGTATGCTAAGTAATTATGGTACTGAATTTTAATACTTCTCCATCATATGAACTCCTCGGCTATATTATAGCATAATTCCAAATAACTCATTTAAAAAGTACATTGACTTTACAGGAAAATTATAGTATTTGGCCAGAGAGATTTTCTGTTAGCTTTACTGAAATAAACCTATGTGTGGTTTTATATTAAATTATTTCCTTAGTCTTCCTCCATCTTACTTCTGCAATAAAAATGAAAGCTCATAATTCTAACTTCTAATTCCTTAAGTTGTAATAAAATAGGAGTGAAAAAACTTATGCCGTTGTGAGTGAAATAAACTACAGCTTAGGAAACTAGAATGTTGAATTCATAGAGAATAAGTTAGAAGGTCACTTTTGTACTAACTATAAATATAGGAAGGATTTTTCACAGGAGAGAAAATAATCTTTTGTCCTTAACAGATGATTAACAAAGAAAATGCTGTAGCTTAGGAAAGAATTGTATTTCCCCTTGGTATTTCCTAAGTGCTTCTGGGCATTTTTTATTTGATTCCAATATGTTCATAAAGTATCAAACAAAATATTTTTTTCTTTCAGAAAAGATGAAACTTGAGGGAGAAAGGAGCTCTGTGTGGCCATGGACCACCAGCATTGATCAAAAACACCCTTAGGGAAAAATGGCCCTAGAGGTGGATGTCTAGGCCTGCCCTGTGAAGTGTGTGGTGGAAGGGCCAACTTGCTGGAGGATCTTCTATCATAGCAGCTGTTTTGGCCTAGATCTAAAATGTCCTCCCAAAGTCTCATGTGTTCTGAAGTGGGACTTTTGGAAGGTGACTGGATCACGGGGGCTGTATATTTGCTGTGGATTAATCCATTGATGAGTTTATAGCTGAATATGCAGTTAGAAGGCAGGACCTGGTTGGAGGTGGGTCATTGGAGGTATGTCTTGGAAAGGTAGAGTTTTGTCCCCAGCTCATTTTTTCTTTCTCTCTTTGCCTCCTGGCTTCCATGGGGTAAGCAACTGTTTCCACCATGGCCTGCCAGCATGCCTTTTCTGTCCTGGAGCCAGCTAGCCATGGACTGAACCTATTGAAATCATGAATCAAAAAAGCTTCTCCTCCTTTAAGTTGCAGGTATCAAGTGTTTTGTCCCAGTGCTGGGAAAAGTGACTAATACACCTGACAACATTCAGGGGATGTAGTGTTCCCTATGCCATAAAAGATCATTTGTTTTCAGAGATGTGACATTGACATAGTAATCTTGAGAGGAAACAGATTTATGGTCAGTAAAAATAGTCCAGTGGGTACCTTGTAGATGCCTGAAGATGAGGACAGAAAAGTAAGGGTATATATTCACAGGAACTAAAACAAAATACCTGTATTCACTATTTAGTGAGCAATTAATTTGTCCCTAGACCTGGGTCAGAGAAATTTATTGTTTATGCTCCATGGAGCTTAGACTGGATTATTTATAAACTATAAGAAGTGATAGGAAGCACTTTAAAAACCTTCCCTTAGGAGTGTTTCTGAACCAATGAGAGGAGTCCCAGGACTCATGATTTCCAGAACTACTTGGAAGCAAATTTAGTTCTTGTAATTATACAGCTAAGGCAAGTTCATCAGTTCTGAAGTTGTCTGCTTTGAACTTGCTGTTAATTGTGGCACTTGAGATCCAAGTTACACTCATAACACTGAGTCTTGGAACCAACACATGAAAAAGTTGTTTAGTTAAAATAAACGTTTCAAACCTTTTGCTTTTTTGAAGGATTTGAAAATGAATGTGCTACATTTTTCTACACTCTGATTTTTTTTAATGTATTAGATGTCAATTGAAACACAGCATTCTGTGTTAATGTAGAGACCCTCTGAGTGATCATAGAGTCTGCCCTGGAAGGAGCAATGGAACTAGAATCAGATCTGTACCTGATTTATTCCTTTGGGGTCATCACTCAATTATTGCATCTGTAAGATGGGGGCAGCAATACTAACATCAAAAGGGACTTTGTGAAGTGCAAATCAGGTAAGGACATGGATGAGGTTACAGGGAGCTATTCCTTCAGTGTTTGCTGAGGCTGAATGAAGTCCTTCAAGCGCAGTGAACATGAACAGCAAACAACAAAACAATAAATGCAGTCAACTTTCTGGTTTGGGAGCTAAATGCTTTCTAGAGCTTGAGTTAACAGACTCCTGTTCTAACACTGCCAGGCACCTGAATTATCCCATGAAAGTTACCAAATGACCAGAAACACAGCCATCTGCTCAGGAACTCAAGCATGGTGACTGAACAGGGAGATCTGAGACGTGTCCCCACCGTCCTTGATCTGTGTTCAT